AAACTGCTTCCTGCTGATTGGGGGCGATGTTCATACCATAGGAACCTGACCAAGTCCTTGTTTTTGTAGTCTGTAAGGCTGTATCATCTCAGCTTCAGGGGGTCTTGCTTGGTCAAACCATATTAGTTTGGAAGGAATCAACAGCTTTTGATTTTCTGTGGAAATACAAGCAAAACCTTTATTTCTAAGTAGCCTGTCCTTAGACTTAAATTTTGAAGTCAAAGCATTTTTAAAATGTAGAAGTTGGATTAATTTAGCAGCATTTATAATCAAATGTATTTTAGCAGCAGTAATTCTTTCCTCGGCAATCAAACAATTTAAAGACAACAGTATGGCATTTAGTATCCAGATTCTTTGTGTATTTTTCATCTCTAGGTGGCTTTTTTACTATTCTACTTTTACTTCCTTTTGTTTCTTTTTTCCCTGAGACAGGGTTTCTCTGTGGAAATCTGCCTGTCTCTGCTTCCTTCAGCAAATCCTACTGGCGTTGGCCACCACAACCGGCTACTCTATTTTCTCCTGTTACTTTTTCTCTCACAAGCCTACATATATTTTTAAATGTAATGTAAACCTTTAGAGGTTTTTCTTTATCTGGATCTGTCTTTATCATCTTGGGAGTGCCGAGTCTAAAATCCAGAAGCACCGGGACGGCGAGAGCATATGGAAGCTGCTCCAATGCCTCTCAGCGGCTGGACAGGGCAGGCTGTGGCGGCAGGTTTACCTCTTTCTCTGGGAACCTTGGGGCATGGGGGTCATCCCGCTCACTGACACCAGGGGGAAAAAAAGACTTTATGTAAAGATCTATATCAGGGATGGGCATGTAGTTCAGTGACAGAGCATTTACCCAGCATGCACAAGGCTAAGTCAATTCCTAGCACTACTTAAAAATCAAACAACAAAACTCAAAGCCCTCATGTGATTTCTACTTGGATTCACCAATTGCTGACATTTGCCTATTTGTTATTTATATACCTATATATGTATGAGATACATTCTTCCTTTCCTACTTTTGGTTAAACCATTTGAGACCTCATAAAATCTCACCCCTAAATGTGTCAGCATGCATCTTCTAGGGTGAACTCATGGTAGAGATATCACAGTGAACTTGTTCTAGCTCATCTATGAAAGAAAGTCTGTATTCAAAGCCCTTCAGCCCCTATAGCAGTACCCAGAGTGGTTCTCACTTTGCTTTGATTAGTCTTGCTTTAGATTTGGGTTAAGTGTTTTTGTCAGGGAAGCTGTGTAAGTGCAACTGTGCCCTTGTACATATAACTTTAGATAGTTGGCCAACCTGAATGAATCTGAGTCAAACTGTATAGATCTGTTTTTCCTCACTGTAAGCCAGACACTCCCTTTCTGTTCCTGGGAGCCACCCATATCTTTCTCATGGGCCATCCATGTTCAGAATAGCAATACCTCTCCTCATAACTTCAGATCATCTGCTTTTCTCAGCCAGAGGAAACAGCTTTTAAAGGGTTCACCCAGATAATCTCCTTTCTGATTAATTCAAATCTGAGAAATCTGTGTTTCCATGCAGCACAGTAAAGTCAGGTGTACTGTCTCCTCATGGTCCTGGTGGAGTGTTTACCACTCTAGAGGTGTGGGTCAGGAGAATGGACCCTAAAAATGAGGCAGACTAAAGTATCATGCAATAGCCAACTCTACTCAGAGAATCAGACAATTTATACTGAGGGTTAAGAGGAATCACAGGAATAAAGTGTACAGTCACAAGGACAAGCCACACTTGGCAAAAACATGTTTTTCCAGAGGCATTTGAGTAATAGCAGCAAGCAATAGTGAGTAATCTAAAGTAAACTCACTCCTATTTGATATACCTGGGAAGAGCACGAAGACACATAATTTTGTGTTTTGAAAAAACCAACGTCACAACTCTTTTTTTTTTTTTTTTTCCTCACAAGCACTCAGGGTTCTCCTTACATGACTCCAGCACATTTGAGGAAACTTTAGGATTCTCCTTGTCACCCCATTCCAGGGCTCTCTGACTGCCTCTGCCTACCAAGTACTGGAATTAAAGGCATATACCACCATTGCTTGGCTGGTTTCCTTTTTTAATGAGCCATAATTCATTCATATTTCTCTCTTTCTCTCCCTCTCTCTCTCTCTCTCTCTCTCTCCCTTCTTCCTCCTCCTCTTCCTCCTCCCCTCCTCCCTCTCTCACATACACACACACACACACACACACACACACACACACAGAGAGAGAGAGAGAGAGAGAGAGAGAGAGAGAGAGAGAGAGAGAGAGAGAGAGAGAGAGAGAGAGAGAGAGAGAGAGAGAGAGAGAGAGAGAGATTTGCTTTTTCCATTCTGCTGATGTAGTTTTAGATTTCTTTGGCTTAGCAAAAAAAAAAAAAAAAAGAAAAAAATCTTTAGATGAGATTATTAAAGTTCTAGCCAGAAAGAATTTGACATATATCAAAGTCAAAACTTTTTCCTTGAGGATACAAGAAGAAAATTCTGTTTGTCCCTATGATAATTAGTTTCTTTTCTACACATATATATGCTTTTGTATATATGGGCATTTGTGTTCATGGGTGTGGAAGCCAGAAATCAGTGTCAGGTGTCTTTCTCAGTCACATACCACCTTATTATCTTTATTTTTTTGTGGTACTGAGGTTAAACCTAGGACCTTGCACGTGATAGGAAAGGGCTTTACCACTAAGCTGTGTTCTTAGCCCCATCCACTTTCTTTTTAAAATGGGATCACTCACTGAACCTGGAGCTCACATATTGGCTAGACAGGGTACTGAGCAAGCCCTGGGGATGCTGCCACACCCGACTCTTTCTTGGGTTCTCAGGATGCAAATTGAAGTCTTTCTGCATGCATGGCAAGCACTGTACCAGCCCCTAAAGAAGTTTATTTTTATTTTTCTTAAAATAACCATTTATTTTTATTTTATGTGTACATATGAGTGCCTGCATGTATACATGTGCATTACATTCATGCCTAGTGCCCTCAGAGGCCCAAACAGGGCATGGGGTCCCTTAGAATCAGAGTTACAGACAGTGTGAACCAAACCTGTGTCCTCTGCAAGAGCAAGTGCTCTTACTGCAGCACCATTTCTCCAGCACCTCAGTCCATCTCTTTGTGTATAACTGGTGATGTGGCAGCTGTCAGTTATAGCAGGTCTAGAATATAAGATGTTTTGATGGCTCTGTCTCTCAAAGCCAGTATCATCTTCCTCCCAACAAACCATCCCATTACATGTCTTGTCCTTCAGGATCTGGTACTGTCCTGAATGAACTACTCATTTCTTTTTGAGAAGCCTCCAGTTTGGAGCACATTACTTGAACTAGTCATAAATAGGTATTTCCCCCTTTGTCTTGGTTTATTTCTTATTTATGATTTAAAAAAAAAAAAACAACTGTTTATCTGTTACTGTTTGTTCCAGTCAAGGAAGCTACAGTGATTGTTTTTCTTTGTTGTTCAATCCAGGAGGAAAATGGCCTCCGTATTTTTTTCTGTTTGAAAGAAATGTTTAAATTACCAGACGCTTCCATGTCTGACTGTGGGTGAGCGCTCGCTCTGCTGTTGATGAGTAAGAACAAGCCTGTGTCATTCGGGCTAATGATTTCTCCTTAAACTTGCGGTTTCCCCCCAGTACGCCTATGGGATGCTTGATGATGGCACTGCAGAAGTACTGTGATGAGACTGTTCAGGAGAGAAGACAGAAGGACCAGAAGGCACTCCGTGAGCAGAAGCTGGAAGAGTGGTAAGCTCGGAACCTGTGAAGACTGCTAGTCTGACTTCCTAGCACAGCCCATGCTAGGACCCAGGCGTTCTCCCTGCTGCCACTCAGTTCAAAGAAGAGTTTGGCTTACTGAATCTTTCCGGTCTTTTAATCTGTATCGTCCTTTAAGTCTTTTTCATTTAAGGATTAGAAAAATGAAAGCCACTAATTTTATTTTTTAATATGATCAGGATCTTTCCTTAGATCTGTCTGTCCTTTCTTTCTTTCCTTTCTCTCTTTCCTTTATGACGCTGTGGGTTTAATAGGGTTACTACAAGAACATTGGTATATAGTTGTTTATAGGAACATGACCAACTTACAAGTGGTTATATGACTGAAGAAAGCATCTTCTGCTTCCCCAGAAAACATTAACCACCTATAAATAAACACTCAGGGATGGGCCAGGCCTCCTGAGCCCCTCCCTGGTCCCATGAAGGAATGCTAACAGCCCAACCTTGTACAAGTCTTATGTGGGTAATCACAGCTGCTCTGGGTCACAAGGCTGTGGGCAACTCATACCTAGAGGACAGTGTCCGCATTGTGGTTCCTCCAGCTCTTACAACCTCTGCTCTCCTCTGTTACACTTCCCTGAGCCTTGCAGGGAAGATGTAGATGGGAACTTCTATTTTTAAAATGTCTGGGAGCTGAGGCAGGGTGATCACCATGAGTCCCAAGTCAGCTTGATTTATGTAATAAGACTTGGTCTCACAAAAAAGGGTGGGGGAAAGTGAAAATGTTATATGCTAAGTGTCCATATTTGAAATTTTACTTCTTAATATAGACAAAGAACTGAAGTAGATAAAATAGCTGTTTGTGGATGGGATGCCACTGTGGAACATGAAGTGTTTGCATTTTCCATCTCACCATCATATGCTACAGTATTTTTTTTTTTTTCTCAGTGCTAGAGATTTACTAGGACCTCAATGCTAGACAAGTAATCGACCACTGAACCGAATCTCCAGGCACCTTTTAATTTTCATTTTGAGACAGTATCTTACCAAGTTGCTCAGTCTGGCCTCTGAACTTGTGATCCTCTTTTGTCAGCCTCCTAGTAGCTGGGATTCCAGGACTGTACCAACAGGCCTGCTTCAGTAATCTCCAGTTTGTAGGATAAGGTGGTGAGACTGACAACTGACTCTCTGTAGACTTTGTATAGGCTCCACCTGGCTACTGCCAGCTAGCACTCTTGAAGTGTGGGTGCTTATCATGGTGCAGCTCCTGGGTGTCTGAGATGAAATCTGCTGTCATTGCTGCTGTTTTTCTTCTTCTTTGTTTGTTTGTTTGTTTGTTTTTGTTTATTGAGACAGGGTTTCTCTGTGTAGCCTTGGCTGTCCTGGAACTCACTCTAGACCAGGCTGGCTGGCCTTGAACTCAGAAATCCACCTGTCTGTGCTGCTGCTTTCTAATTGGACATATAAGCAGTTTTTCCCCCCCAGGGATTTTATTTGAAATTTTTTTGTGTTACACACACATACACACACACACACACACACACACACACACACAAATAGACATTTGTAATAGCTTTACATAGGTTTCTTCCCAAGGACTTAAATGCTATAGAAGAGCAAAGCTTTGGTTTGGAGCCAATAAAACCTTGAAAACTGAGCTTAAGTCTCAGCTTGACATAAATTAGACTAGGTTTCATTGTTTATTTTGAGAGTCTCAGTGTGTAGCCCAACCAAGTCTCAGATTCTAACAGACCTGCTGCCTCAGTGTCTGAGTACTGGGATTATAGGAATGTGCTACCACTAGGGTATGAGTCAGCTGGGACCTTGCTTTCCCTAACTTTAAGTCCTCAGTTTCTCCAGTTGCTTTAGGGACAGAATTTACTCTAATGCTCTGCATTCCTTGTTGTGCTTCCTCTTCACGGTAAGAGGGCATGTGGGGTACATGGTTATCCAGGTTCTAGGATGATGCACTTAAAATTCCAAGTGGCAATGTAAAATTTAATATTGTTAATTATTAAAACATTGGAAACATCCGTTTGTTTTTAGTGCCCTGGATGTCATACAAGCCTTCTTTTTAAAAACAAAGCTTTAGGAAAAGGGTTAGAAAGGGAAGGTTATTGGAAATTTGGTTATGATACAGAACGTTGTGAAAGAATTAACATTTGGGGGAAATATGAACCAATAATGATTATATTCCAATTTAAAAAGGAGGGGAGAAAAAAATAAAAGAGGTTTGTCAGTGACTTGAAGATGGAGAACCTTGAGAATGGGCAAAAGTAATAGCGTGAAATATAGTAATGAAGGACTTCTTCAGCCAAGAGAACTAATGTTTAACATGTAGGGATTGGAGACACAGCACTGGCTGCTCTTCTAGAGGACCTAGATTTGGTTCCTAGCATCCACATGGCAGCTTACAATTGTCTGTCTTTCCATTTTGGGGAATCTGATACCCTCTTCTGTCCTCCGCAGGCACCAAACACTCATATGGTGCACAGACATACATTCAGGTAAAACACCCATACACATAAAATAAAATTTAAAACATTTTAAATGTATAGCTTGCACCTGTCATGAATATGTGTATGGTATTTCTAAGAAGAGTCAGTTCAAATGTTTATGTCACTTTTATGTGTCAGCCTCTGTGTTTGAAAACAGTATAGACAAATAAGAGTTTTTAAAATTATGCTAGCAGAAAATGTAGAAGACTGGCCATAGAGTTATGATAGAAAAATGGTCAAATTTGATTGAGTTGACACTTAAGATGTAAGTGGCTTTGATAATCAAAGAAAGATACCAAGATTCTATTTAGGAAAAGGACTGATCTCTTAGTAATTAGAGCCTACTGTTCATAAATACGTATCTGTAGAGTTGCCTAGATGATTCACCTAGATTACCATTGTACAGTCTTTGTGAGGTGAGACAGGATCTGGTGAGAGGCTTTATACAGTGGCAGGGGCTCCCAAGCCCTGAGTCTGAAGGGTAGGAGGACAGCCCAATTTGAAATGTAAACTTCAGCACAGGGTGTATCCGCTGCCACTCATCACTTGGAAGAACCGTGGGACACAGTGTCCCATCATGTTAGGTGTCCAGTGTCCATTTTGGTGTTGTGGAAATCATGGTTAGATTGAAAGTGGAGCAGGGTAGGAGAGAGAAGAAAGTCTTTGTGTTGTGTGTGCAAAGACCGTATTTGCTTATAGCAAAGCAGGGAAAGTGTGACAGATAATGCCCTTTTGTTTGAAGTCTGCAAGGACAAGTGCTGAAGCAGAGCTTGATAGTGTTTATCTCTTGATTGTAGGAGACGAAAGCTGCAACACACTGAGCTCCTCCCTGAGAAAATTGCAAGTGACTTAGAGAAGATTCGGTCTGAGGAAAATGCTCAGAGAATCCAGGAGCTGCTAAACCTTCCTAGGAACCCTTCATCGCCAGATAAACCAAGCAAAGACTGAGGACAAGGGGTCTGTGTGTGAAGGAATGCCAGTGCCAGGCTACTCCTTGTCAACCTGACAAATGCCAGTGCTGGCACCTGTGGTAGCAGTGACTTGCCTCTTACCTTTTCCCTCTGCACATCAAGGATTGGGCAATCAAAGCTGGGTGCCACACACAGTAATCCCAGCTGCTTAGGAGGCTGAGAAAAGAAGATGACATGAGGCCGGCTTGAGCTACATAATGAGACCCTGTTTCAAAAATACACACCCACAAAAAACAACAGAACCAAAAACAACCCAAAGAATTGGGTTACGTTTCCCTATCTATACTGATCATTGATCCATCTGAATACTTGTATTTCTCCCTCTTGCTAGATTTTATACAAGTAAAATACTTCCCAAAAGAATAAAGTATAGGTTGTCTGGATTGCCTATTCAGTCCCCAGCCTTTTAAAAATGTTCTCTTGGAGTGACTGAAAAGAGAAGGGACTAGATCAAGGAAGTGGCCTGTGAAACCATCTTCCTTTGGACCCTTCAAATAGTGTGGGCCTCAATGCATTTAGTTTCGTTTTAATAAGAATAAAAGGTGAAGCCGGGTGTTGGTAGTGCACGCCTTTAATCCCAGTACGTGGGAGGCAGAGGCAGGCGGATCTCTGAGTTCAAGGCCAGCCTGGCTTACAGAGCGAGTGCCAGGACAGGCTCCAATACTACAGAGAAACCCTGTCTAGAAAAAATAAATAAATAAATTGAATGTGATTTAACAAAATGGAAGCAGGTGGTTATTGTTAGCGATGCAGTCCAGCTTTGTTTCCTATCAAGCATTGCTGACAGCATCTGTGCTGTAACGTACAGGAGAGGCTCAGAGGAGATGCATCATCCTACACCAAGGAGCTGGCTACCCGAGAGAAGCTGTCCTACAGATTTCAGCTCTGGGCAGATGGGGAAGAAACTTCTCTTGTCTTTGGTTTTGTTTTCTTCAGTTCTGGTGTTTGCAGTTAACTGTGGTCTGAAAATATTAAATGGAAGATTCCAGGTCTAGCAGTTTGTAAGTTTTAAATTTTGTACCTTTCTTAGGTTGGGTGGTGAAATCTCACCCTGTACCTCCTGAGATAGAACATATATATTCCTTTGTTTATCATTCCCCAGGGGTTCCTAGGAAGGTTTAGCAGCTCCTGTATCTGTCCATCTGTCGCTTACTCTTGGTTATCAAATTGAGTCTGTGGAATGACAGTGCTTGTGTAAAATAATAGCATTGAATAATGGTTCCAAAGAGCTTGAGTAGTGCTGCTGACAGGTCACATCCACTAAGACAGGCTCAAAGTGTGCCCTTTAAGGGAAAAGGTGAACATTGCTGCCATGTTGAGGACCCTGTACTGTGGATCAGATGGAGGGAAGAAACTGCTAGCATTTTAAATGGAGTTGTACTCAATCTTGGTAAGTTGGTTCTACTCTGAAGCAAGGTCTGTAAGAACAGCGTAGTGCAGTAGCTAAAGCTAAGGCCTCCAGGGGCAAACCACTTCCTTTCCATTTCAGCCCAGAGGGTAGCAGCTGTGTGACTTACAGCAAAACCATTTGATGAACCTGAAGTCTAGCACATACTAGGCAAGCACTCAGCCAGTGAGTTCCAGCCTCAGCCCCATTGAGTTTCAGATTTTTCACTAAGTGTATAGTATTATATACTTGAAAGTAGATATTTAATGAAATTATTTGAGTATATTAAGCATACATTTGCATTTCATTCTTGATATACAACTTCCCAAATCCTGGCCTCCTGGGGATGAGGACTGGTCATCTAAAAGTTCTCATCAGAGTAGAGTACTGGCCCTTTCAGTCCCAGCTAACAACCTCTGCTTAGGGAGAGGAGCTGAGATGTGTCACCTAGACCAGAGACTTAAGCAGTGAGCATATGAAGCTTCTGTGACAGCCCAACAAGACAATACTGGAGAGCAGCTGGTTCCCAGAGGGTGTGGGATCCCCGCACACTTCCAGTGCTTCCCTCAATGCATGTTTTCATCGGAAAGCCTTTTATGGCAAACCAGGTAAGTGCTGTCCTGCATCCTGAGGTTTGCTCATGGAGCAAATTCATCACACAAGAAGGGGCAGTTTGTAGCTTGTTGGTTAGAGTTACAGGACTGAGCCTTTGGGGGATCTGATGGAGTGAAACTGTGTTTCTACTCCAAAAGCAATTGCCTCCTGGCTGGGAGAAACTCTCACAACTTTGGGGCCTACAAAAGTCTTTTGTGTTGGTAAATGTGGTTGTTCTGTGGTGTGTGTGTGTGTGTGTGTGTGTGTGTGTGTGTGTGTGTGTGTGTGTGTGTGTGTGTGTGTGTGTGTGTGTGAATTTTTTCCAACAAAACTTTTAGCACAATGCTTAGATGGTAATAGTCATAGTTGTAACCAGCCTCTGCACTGGTTTATTGGCACATTGTTAAAACCATTCTCATAAATTATGTCTTTCATAATTACCCCTTATAAATTGATGACAAATTGGCAACTAGTCATTCTATTCATTGTTTTACTCACAGTCACATAGGCGAAATCTTTAAAAAAAAATCATAAAACTAAAGATGGCTTTTAAAAATAATTTTACTTTTAACCTAAAAATACCTGAATAATAAAATCAAAGTGTAGCTCTAACAAACATTTATCAAATGTAGTAGTTAATAATTTAATCCAATTTGCTTCTTAAGTTGTCCCCTAGATTCTTCCTTTTTTGTCACTTGATTCTCTTTTGAGGTCTCATTTGCTTAGCCTGTTGTTAACTAAATGCAGCGGCTCCCCGCTGCTTTTGTTTGGTTTTGCTTTCAATGTTTTGTCAACTTCTTGCCAGTCCACTACTTTGGAGACTTGTTCTGCGAGCAGCCATATAAAACTGGACCCCTTTCTTGGACAGTACAACAGAATCTGGCCCCATTAGAGCTCCTGAAATTAAACATCCAGCCACCTTGAGAGACTTGGCTGTCTTTTGATGTCCAACTCCAGATTTTTTAGACAAGAGTATCTCATTGTTTGGACCTAGGTCAGATCCACTTCTGGCCAAGATAGGTGCAGATGATAATTTCAGAGAAAAGGGAACTTTCAACATAGAAGCAGCACTTGGCTACTTCTTGTTTTCCCTTCCTTTGGTGGGGTGGGGAGGAGGTTGTCTTAGGGTCTTACTTTGCAGCCCATGCTGCCTGGAATTCAATCCTCCTGCCTCAGCCTCCTGAGTGCTAGCATTACAGGTGTGTGCTACTGTGCCTGATTTACTTATTGCTTCTCAGTTTTCCATTGGTAGCAGATCTATAAATACTAAGGAGCAAAAGCCACTTCAAGGAATCTAAGAAGTTCTATGGAAGGCTAGGATCACCTCAGTCATTTACGTGAGGACAGATTACTGCTTATTAAATAATCTCATTTTAAATGAGAACTTTCTCAAGCATTGCATAAAAGGGCAAACTAGCCTAAGGAGATTGCCAGTCCAATATGAACTAGTAGATTATGAACTATGCCTCCAACCTGACTTCTGCTTTGAGGTATGAAAGACACATTCATCTTAGATGTCTGGAAAATTCATGTTTGATCATTCTGTTTTCTCTTGAACTTGAGAAAAATGAAAGGAAAATACATGAAAAATGCAGACTGAAAATTCTAATATTTTTATTACCCTTGTATGGGTACACATACCGAGATATTTCTTACAAATTACACTAGGTCCAATAGGCCTTAAAAAAGAAACAGCTGGGCAATGGTGGGACATGCCTTTAATCCCAGCTCTTGGGAGGCTGATGAGTGAATCTCTGTGAGTTCAAGGCCAGCCTGGTCTACAAAGTGAGTTCTAGAATAGCCAGGACTGATACACAGAGAAACCCTACCTCCAAAAACAAACAAAAACACTCCCAAACAAACAAAAAAGCACCCAGAGCCCCATAGATGGTAGGTAAATATTACCAGCATTTTAAATTAATCCGTCTACAAGCTTGGAGCTTAGGGTCTAACTAATGAAGGTTAAGAACAGTAGAGCCAGGAAATCTGGATTCTGACTCGACTTCAAAATTCAGGTCTCCTCCTGGAGCCTAAGAGTCTTCAGTAATACAACTAGTGTTCTGCCAAGGGTAGTAGCTCACACCTGTAATTCTGGCACTAGTGCAGGAGGATTGCTGCATGTTTGAAACCTGCCTGGGCCACATAGTGACTTCTAGGTCACCTTGAGCAACAGGGTAAAACTGAATCTTAAAAGTGTGTGTGTGTGTGTGTTAGTGAGGGCAGATGTGTTAGTGTTCCCTAATGTCCCTTCCAGACAAAGAATTAAGTCTCTAAACTACTTTTTCAGCATCAGCAGGGCTACTGTGGTACGTGTTAAATTCTTCGCTGGTCTTCTGCAAAGCACTGCAGAGGCTTTGCCTAGGGAACAGATGTTTGCAAGGCACAGTTGGATTTCTGAAGACATTTACAGAAGAAGCTGGTTGCAAATGTAGGTGAGACCTGAGGAAACAAGAAAAATAAATGAATATTTCAATCCTGATTTTTGAAGAGAGAAAAATACTATGCTTTAAATCTCAAGACCAACTATATACTTAATTTGAGGTAACATGATAGATATTAATCTTGATAACTAATGAATATAAAAATAGACTAATTTTTCTTACATGAAATACAGTAAATCTTCACCAAGCAAATGTCTGTTAAGTACCATGTACTCCAAACAGCCACGTATTGTTGCTGCAGACAGTCTGCTTTGTGTGTGGTAAAGATATGTCAGACATGGTTGCTTTTTTTCAGTAAGCCTATGGCCTAGAAAATGATGTTACACCAGGCACATGAGTATCTGGGCACCAAGTAGTGTGTGGTGTGTACTAAAGTCCATAGATGTGTGAACTCAACAAGACAGCACAGAAGGCAGCGTGTACAAAGGTGGATTTCCGACTTGGTTGTGAAGTGCAGCATACTGGTGGGGAGATGTAAGTTGGGGAAACTTCATCACAGGACCGAAGGGGAGGAACATTGTGGAAAAGGCATTCTAAGAAAATAGGGGAGAATTTAACACTGCTTTGGGAAACACAGCTAGGCTTCTGTGGAGTAGAGTAGCAGCAGTAGCTAGCAGTCATCTAATTTGGTTGGTTTCTTTTTCATCTGTGGTGATTATAGTCTAGGTGGAATGATCTCTCAAAGGCTCTTGAGTTAAAGGCTTGGTTACCAGTGGATGGGCTTGTCAGAAGCCATGGGATCCTAAGGACTTTGACCTAGTCCTAATAGGACATTGCTAGAGATGGTGGAAAGTAGGAGATGAGGCCAAATTGGAGGAAGCAGGCTACTGGGGACCATGGCCTGGAAAGATGTCTCTTGCTCCTTGCTACACCACCTTTCTGCTTCCAGATTCAATGAAGAGAGCTGCTGTGTCCCAGTGCCCCTTCACCATGACGTTCTGCCTCACATAGACCCACAATAGTGGGGCCATGGAAGAACAAACTTGAGGAGCTCAACCAAACCTCTCAACCTGAGAACCTCAAATTTATCTCCCATAAAAGGCGATAGAAAGATCTTGAGTATACAGATTTTTTTTCATAAGATGAAGATGAAATAGTGACTCTGTAAAAATAGTACATTATTTATCATTTTCTATAATTTTTTTGTTTTGTTTTAAAAACAGAGCCTCACTATTGTAATCCTACCAGTCCTGGAACTCACTATGTAGACTTGGCTGGCCTCAAACCTGTGGTAGATTTCTGCCTCTGCCTCCTGAATGCTGGCATTACATGTGTAGAGCTGTGTCCCACCACATTCAGTTCAGCTTCACATTTCAAAGTACCAATGTTCTCTGACATAAAAGACCTTGGAGTTTTAGGGGAACACAAATCTGATACATGCTGTTATTTTCACAGAAGTTAATGCTGTACTCACTCCACTAACTGGAGGAGCACTATTTTATGTGTAGCCATGGGACCATATCCAAAATGATAGTTTTCACTTGCTGGCATCCAGTAATTTCATATGAAGTGACTGGAAACCATGTCACAAAAAACAATGAAGAGAAATTAAGACATTTTCACTGTAGAGAGCTAAAGCTTTGAAACTTCTGTAGGCCCTGGGTCCTGGTTTAAGTTTCTGAGTGGGAAAGGACATAACAATAGTTTTTGAAATGAAATTTGGCTCAGTGATTTTTCAGTAGGATGAGTCTGTCAGTATGAAGGAGAGAACTCAGACAATGTTGCTGTATTTTTACAAGTAATGGGCTGGAGAGGTGGCTCAGAGGTTAAAAGCACTGGGTGCTCTTCCAGAGGTCCTGAGTTCAATTCCCAGCAACCACATGGTGGCTCACAACCATCTATAATTAGATCTGGTGGATTCTTCTGCCTCCAGGCATACAGGCAGGCAGAACACTGTATATAAATAAATAAAGCTTAAAAAAAAAAGTAACTCAGAGTTGTATACATCAGGAGCAAGAGATGCCAGGAAAAATAGACATTCAGAATAGGCAGTTGGCCGAGAATTTCACTTCAGGAACTCAGGTCAGTGTTTTATAGTGTAAGATACTGAACCGGCAGACACCAGGGGAGCACATGAAGATGGCAGAAGGACACAGCAATGGAATATGTCAGAAAAGAAAATGCCATGTATGGAAAAAGGAAAGGGGTCCCGAGCTCCTACAATCTTAGACTGTAGTCAAGTCTTTGAGGTCATACATAAGGGTTCAGATTTAGTGCCTAGACTAGTTGGGCTTCTGTTCCTGTGATGATAAAACACTGACCAAAAGCAACTTGGGGTGGAAAGTTTATTTCAGCTTACAGCTTACAGTCCATCATTTTGGAGTCAGGACAGAAACTCAAGCACAGACCATGGAGGGGTGCTGCCTAATGGCTTACTCTTCAGGGCTTGCTCATCCTGCTTTCTTAGGCCACCCAGGACCACCTGCCCAGAGATGGCACCACCAACAGAGGTCTAGGCTCTCCTACTTCAATCATCAATCAAGAAAATGACCCACAGACTTGTCTACAACCTGATGGAGCCAATTGCTCAATTAAAGTTTTCTTAGATAACTTTAGCTTGTGTCAAGCCAGAAAAAAAAATCTGACCAGCACAATTGATTCCTTGCCAATCTGACACAAAAATACATCTCTATTAAACCATAACTATTTTTGTTTATCCCCAAGAGTTGTTCATGTTATATGATAGCATAAAATGTTATATGGTTTTAAAAGTTCCACCACTATAAAAAAGTTCAAACAATTTAAAAGTCCAATCTCTAAAAATTCAACATCACTTTGAAAGTCTAAAGTCTCTCCACTGTGGGTTCCCATAAGATTAAGACAAAGATATATTTGAAAGAAAGCAAGGAGGGGTATCTGGGAGGGTTTTTAGGGAGGAAATAGAAGAGGAAAATGTTATAATTATAATCTCACAAAAACAAAAACAAAAAAAACTAAGATACATACTTTATTTTAAGAGGGGTGGACCAGAGAACAATTATAGTCAAGTCAAAGCAAAGTCAAAATTTATCAATAAGAGTGCTTAGTGTTCAGCATTCTAGACTCCCTCTTGATCTTCTGGACTCCAAAGGGCTTGAGCGGTTCTGCTCTTTATAGCACATGGAGCTTACTTGGTAGACTCAAGTCAGTCCTGCTCTACACCTGCTGTTGTTTTTGCTTGACATTCCATGGGCTGGTATCTCCAATACCCTAAGGCCATCACTGCAACTGAACCTTCACTTTCCCAGGTGGCCTCTCACAAGGTCCAGTCTCAGTGTCTGTGACTTCTTCATGTTTTCAAAACCAGTCCCATAGGTGAGACTCTTAGACATTACCAAGCTTGGTTACCAGCTTGAGATACATGCAGCCTTGACCACCATGGACACACATCTGTGTGCTGAGCCCAAGGAAGAAATACTTTGCAGATTTCACCTCAGTTATGCTGGTCTCTTCATCACAGCTGATTTCTCAGCCCTAGCAGGCCAGAGACCACACAGTCTTAAAAAAAAAAAAAAACCAAAACTTTTATTGATTCTTTGTGGATTCACATTATGCACCCCAATCCCACTCATCTCCCTGTCCCTTTGTATTTTATCTGCACTCTGCCCTTGCAACCCCATCAAAAATAAAATAATAATTAAAAAAAGACAAAACCAAAAAAATCTCGTTATGGAAGCTGTAGTGTGTCACACTGGTAGTAACACAGTATACCCTTTAAGCCATGCATCTTATTTGCAAGTGTTCATTGCAATGCGGTCTGAGGCCTTTGGCTTCTGCTACATTATCAATACTGTGCCCTCACTGGGACTCCTCTTGGATATCCTGCTGTTGCCTATGTCATGGAGATCATGCAGCTTTGGATCTGCAGGACCAGCTCCTTCACATGCCCTAGCAGTTCATTGATGGGGTGGATGGGCCATGGATATTGACACAGACCCCTGCTGCTTCATGGCCATAGACCCAGACGTGGCCCTCAGTGGCCCTCATGGGCCAAGACTTCACCATGGTCTCAGGTGGCTGTACAGGCTACTCCTATCAGATGGTGCCTCTCCACCTTTGTGTCTCCAGAACTGCCACTCTTCACAGTGCTCAAGCTATTCTCTTTCTTTCCCATCCCTCCAGCCCATACGTGCACACTGAAATGGCCACACATCGGGCGGGGTCTCTGAGTGTCTGCAAGTGTTTGTCCAACCCAAAGCTTCCAAAGGAAATAAATCTCTGGCCAAAGTTAGAGGCAGCATGGTAAAACTGTAATTTGACATCCAGTCTCAAGGTTGAACCGCCAACACAACCGTAGAGATTAGCAGATAGGCTAATGATGAGAAGTAAACTCAGAAGGGCATGTCTAGTCAGTTGTGGGTCTCCAGTCTGCAGGTAATGCGCTTCTTCCTGGGCAAGGATGCAGCTCTGAGAGCCACAGCAACTCATACAGTGGTCGGTTTTCTCAAAGGAAGAAGGTATAGGCTCACTCACAACTTGTGTTTGTAACTGGCAGTGTAAATCACTTTTTCCCAAGGAACAAAGTTCTCCACAATCTATTTGCTCTCTTCTTTCTTTCCCATCACTCCACCATCTAGTTACTCACTTTCCACCATGCCCAGATGGGCATCAGGCTATGGTATTGTCTTGTTGCTTTCCAATGCTCACAGGCCCTTTGTGGTCCCGGTACAGGCCTCTGTGTTATCTATGTGCTTCCTGGCATCCAGGATCTGTTTCTTGATGATTCCAATCATGATGCCTGCCAAGTACAGGTGCCACTCTCACCTTTTCTCATAGCCTTCTCTCTTGGTCCTGCCTTACCAGACTGGAGGAGATATAGAGGCCCTAGCCAAGTCTACAGCTGCTGCAGTTGCCACTGAGAGCCCAAAGCATGACAATGGCCACCCAGTGGCCACCAGCACCATCTTGATTCTCAAGACGACATATTCTTAACACAAATATATCACACACAAAAGTTCTGATAGAATGTATGAGAGACTTGAAGACTTCCCTGTGAAACTTCTCAAGATAGGCATTTAGCATTTGCACTTATCTCGACACTCTTATTTCCCAAGCTCTATAGAACACTCCATTAAGCATTGAGCATTGAGTGTCAAGCATCAATGGCTTTTCCAGATTTCTAATCACTTCCACAATCCTCCCCCACACAACACAATCAGGTTTGTCAGTACAACACCCTACTCCCGGTAACAATTTATGTCCTTGTTAGGTTTCTGTTACTATGATAAAATAGTGAACTAAAGCAATTTTGGGGAGGAAAAGGTTATTTCATCTTATAGGTTATAGTCCTCATCATCAAGATAAATCAGAGTAGAAACTCAAACAGAAAACAAATCGGGTACTGATGCAAAGGCCATGAAAGGATGCTACTTACTGTCTTGCTCCCCATCATTTGTTCATTCCCCTTTCTTATACCACCCAGTATCACCTGCTCAGGCACCACCCATAGTGGGCTGGACCCTCCCACATCAATCATCAATCAAGAAAATGCCCAACAAACTTGCTTGCAGGCAACCTGATGGAGAGAAATCCTCACTTAAGATTTTTTGCTTCCCAGATAGCTCTATCTTGTGTCCAGTTGTCCAAAAGGTTAACTAGCACAGTGCTGAAAGGAAGATTGTACCTCATGATCCAATTATACCATGTATACCACATGTGTAGAGAAGATCTAAAGGAAGGTAGATGGCTACCTTCAGACATTCTGTCCGGTTGACACTTCTGCAGGCCCTAGGTAAATGCCATTGTTTCCTTTTCTGCTTGTCGTATTTCTTCTTCTGAAACACCCTTGAAGGTAAGCATAAATCATAACAACAGATGAGGATCTCATAAGTCATGCCTGTATATTTCAGCAAGTCCCCCTACTATCTTACACCCAGAGTATGGTTCTTGAACCAGAAGAGTTTCTAATACTACCCCCCCTACCAGTCTCCAGGGACATTTGGTAATTCCCTAAAGACTTTTTGTTGTTATTGTTGTTTGCTGAAAGGTGAGGAAGCTTCCTCTTGTGAACATCTCATATATAGTAGAATACCACTGTAACCAAGTATTATTTGGCCCCCAAATGCCAATACTAGTGGTGGTGAGGGTGACAGACTCTGAACTGGAAAGATTAATTAATTCATATTAGAAACACTATGAGCCCACTAAGCTTTTATACCCTATCCCTAAGGTGAGCTTCTCATATTATAGAATCTGCTGACTTCTATCTGAACTTTGACCTGTTTATGTTTATGTGTGCTAAAGGTTATAAGATCAGCAGATGTTGGTCTTCTAATTTCATTTGCTCAGTGTATGTGACTCCTAGTCTAGTTGATACCTTCTGGGTGATTATAGTTATAGGTCTGAAGTAGAAAGCCCTCTTGGGTCAATTGCCGAGACTGAGGGCAGACCATGTCTAAGGCCCCAAATTAAAAAAAACCTATTGTGTCCTAGACATCTCTTCTAACCAACTACAGCCTCTTTGATACAAAAATATTTGGAAGAATCGAGGATTAGTAAAAAACCACTATGGCATCTAGCTTCTCAAGTCTTAGTGACCTCTCTCAAAGAAAGAGAGGTCTAAATCTAAATCTCTAAATCCGCCTCTAAATCTCATCATTCTTCTTTTTCTCCAAATCCAAAGATGAGAGTGTCAGTCAGCATTAGAGGTGCTTTCAAAGTAGTCCAAAAGCATTGGTGTCTCCATGAAAATGGAAAGCATAGGAAATTGACAAGACTGAATTACAATACACCCATCCCTTTTAAGACAGGATCTTGCTGTAATTTCAAAGTTCCTGTGTGGCCAAGTCCAGCTTCTAGCTTTCTTTCTTCCCATTTCAGTCTCACACGTGCAGAGATTAAAGATGTGAGCCACTATATTGAGCTATCTGGCTGGATCTTAAGAACAGGGGCTTCTTGTCTTAGGAATTTGAATGCCTGGGAGAATACTAGGCATACAGTAGGAGTCCAGGATTTTTTTTTTCACAGTGAATGGACAGAATCTAAAGTTCCCATAGATTTGCTGCAAATATGATCTAGACTGGAATGCCACAGATGTGCTGAAATGTACGAATGGAATCTAGGCTTCCAGGAATTAATCATGATGATGAAGTAGTACTTACTGTGCACAATGCAGATTGCAAAAGGAACTACTAGCACAATTATGACGTAGAAGACTTGGTGATTTCTATCAGGAGGGGCTTCTGGGGCTGTGGAGAGAAAAGAATAGCATCAGTTGTAATGTGCAGCCTACCATCCGGTTCCCACCCTAAGCCTCTTCACGGTACACCTGTGGAGAATCTTGGACTTTGCCAGCTCATCTCACAGAGACACAGCTGCCAGCATTTTCCTGCACAATTCTATCAAGAATATACTGTGGGCAACTAACATTCAAATGATAGACAGTGAATCTGAAGAAAATAACTTAAATGTTTGCATTGACTGATCTAACTTGGCAGGAGGAAAGATTCTAAGGGGATACCTTAAAAGTGATTATCTTTATAGCTCGTTCCTGTAGCTGATAGGACTAAGTCTTACTATCGAATCTAGACATACCTACTTTTTTCTCCTCTAGCTCTATTATACCTTCTTTCTCTTGCATGTTCTCTTCACATCCTGCTCCTCCACTCTCATACTCCACACAGTGACTGCCTTAAGATTCTGGAGGTACTTCACATTCTCTTCAAGATTCCGTTTTTTGCCCCTCAGCCTTAAGTTTTGCAGAGATTAAAAGAACTAACAATGGCTATGAATTGGTATTAGGGGACTGTCCTGGAAGACAGCGTCACGGGCTAGCTTCTGATGAACTTCTAGTCTCACATGGAGCACACCAGGGATACCAAGACTGCTGGGGGCAGGAGGACAAAGAGATTGGTGTGTGTGTTGCTGCCGTCTGGTCCTATTCATCCAGGTAGCAGCTATACCATTTATTTCTCCATCTCTTTGAGAAATGGCAACATCTGAAGAAAGGACAGGGACACAATTTGAAGGGAATATTAGCAACACAGCCTCTCTGGCTTCTCTGGAATGGATTACAAGAAAATATTAAACACTACCCCATTCTCAATTTCCCCCACTATCATGCCTCATGGAAGTTTGTCTTTGAGCTTATTTTAGCATTTGGCTCCAAGGACCACCTTATCCTTGGCTTCTTTCTCTGATACCACACTCCCTTGTTTATGCTCACAATACTCATCTTTCTAATGAAGCACTTCAACCTCATCTTTGTTTCTAAATGTCATTGTTCCCATGGTGTCTATCTGTGGCATTGGTCTGCCTGTATATAATCTCATTCACACCCAAAGTTTGAAATACCATCTAAGTTTGAACATTACATTTCTTATCTCATTTCTGGACTCCAGATGTATTATAGATCCAGCTAGAAGCCAGCTGATGAAAATTAAATTCACTGTGTTTTCTTCTTCTTTTTTGTTTTTTGCTTGTTTGTTTGTTTTTGAGACAGGGTTTCTCTGTGTTGCTTTGAAGCCTGTCCTGGAACTTGCTCTATAGACCAGGCTAACCTCAAACTCAGAGAGATACACCTGTCTCTGCCTCCCAAGTGCTAGGATTAAAGGCATGCGCCACCACCGCCGGCTACTGTGTTTTCTTCTTAAAGATATAATTTATTTTTATTTTATGTGTATGGGTGTTTTGCTTGCATGCATGTCTGTTCACAGTAGGCCAGAAGAGGGCATCAGATTCCTCTGGGACTGGAGTTACAGACAACTGTTAGCCACTGTGTGGGTGTTGGACATGAAAGTTGGGTCCTCTTGAGAACAGCCCGTGCTCTTAACTGCTGAGCCATTTCTTCCAGATCTCACTGTGTTCCCTGTAAAGCTCACCATCTACTACTGCCCAATTTTGCCACTGCAGTGAATGGCACCCTTAGCCACCAAGCAAGGGTGTCACATTTTCGAGACAGGGTTTCTCTGTGTAGCTTTGGAGCCTATCCTGACACTCGCTCTGGAGACCAGGCTGGCCTTGAACTCACAGAGATCCGCCTGCCTCTGCCTCCCGAGTGCTGGGATTAAAGGCGTGTGCCACCAACGTCCGGCATCACATTTTCTTTGTTCTCACTTCCCAACTGGCTTCCCAGGATTTGCTATGCTCTGAGTCCCTTCCCCCCATCACCTGCCTTAGTTTGGAGCTTTCTTATCTGCCACCTACGAGCCTCCAAACTCATGTCACAATCACTTGTCTCATTATTCCAAACGATGATGGCTAAATGGTTGGTGAAATTTGAAGCTTTCTTTAAAGCTCTTTTCTACAAAAGCAGATCCCATAAGTAGGCAACTTAACAGTGTCTGGGCTCAGAAACTAGAAATTAGTAACATGCAGTAGCATATTTCTCTCATCCCAGAACTAAGGAGGCTGAGGTTGGAGGATTGTGAGTTCGAGGCCAACCTGGGTTACATAGTGAGACCAAGCATGTGCTTATTCATGTGCATTGCAATTGAGTCTGTGTAACCTTTGGAATCTGAAATACTACCTGATTTTTTTTCCAGAAATGTTTCAGCACTTTTGTCCTAAATTTCACACATACCCATATTCCAAAAATTACTGACTGAAGTATAACCCCCCACTTTGAAATAATATAAAACTTGTTAGTGATAGACCTCTAAAGTAAAAATGAACCCCAAATTAATAAAATAGTGTTCACTTTATGAGCCAAGACTTTTTAAGATAAAAGTCTAGAATACATAAAAAGCAATCAAGAGATGAGTTTGGAGTGTTAAAATCATGCCAGAATTTGCTTTGTATTGGAGACTAATGTTTCCAGGAAATTTCCTTATTACCTAGAAAGGAAAATTATTAAAAAGAATACATCTCAGATCTGAAAGAACAAATCAATGAACTTGTAAACCATCTGAACTATATAACTGGAAGTAAAGAGGAAGGCATAAGCCATGTTACCACTCAAATTTAATGTGTGTGTACTACAGACTGTCATACTGCATTGCTTCTGTACTGTGCAGATATAGAAGGCAACCTTAGATTTGGGCTGAGTAGGAGGAGAGTCTCCAGTGGGCCTCTGTATACTCGTTAAAATGCCATTCAAATTATATTTGCATTCCAAGTATCTGAGAACCCTGAAAACCTGCCATGGATTTAAGATACAGATATTTGTATCAAAACAATTTCTTCATTTTATATTTTCACCTTTAGAGAAAGGGAATTTCATAAGATTACTTACTACCTATAAGGGAAATTATTAACTCAAAATGACCTATCCCCCACCCCCAGACATTGTCCTTAAAGACTTTTATCACATAACTTTACCAGACTTGGCTCTAGATGAACCAGTAGGTGGAATCAAACCTAGGGCTTTGGGTGTGCTCCAACCCTACACCCAGAGTGAATGAGTAGTTCTAAAAACAAAAATACATTCAAAAAAAAAAAAAAACCAAAGATTTGATACCATGGGACCATTGGGATTGGGTATCCTAAAGGAAAATGCCAAAGTCGGGAAATTACAAAGAAGGACAAAATTTGGTGATTTCAAAAAAATACAACATTACATAAACTGCAAAAAAACGACTACCTGATGGTCAGCAGTTATTAGGTTTGTAAAATTTAGGATATTTATTAAAAGAAAAAAATAGTCTAATAATATCGCCATCACTTGTCTAGTGATGTCAGCAAGTCATAACGACACATCTTGTACGTCTAATGAGACAAAAATTACCATCAGAGTCAGTGAGTTCAATTCTAAAATGTTGCTGTTTGGGTTGTTCTTTTGGATTCTATATAGCAGACACTTTCCAGTGTAATATTACTTACGTTTTTCCCAGGTGAAGTTCTTTGACACTTGAGAGTCTCCATATGCAATGTGACACACGATGCTGTGATTGTATGTCATATTGAAATCCAGTTTGCTACTGACAGTGTACAGTTGGGATTCAGGATCCTGAGAAACTGTTGTATTGATGCCACTTAATTCTTTTCCATCTTCCAACCAGGTGAGTCGAGGCTTTGGGAAACCTCCGGAGGCAAAGCACATTATCCTTTTAATGTCTGCAGCTGGCTCTCCAAACTGAGTTATGTTAGGAACTGGGAAGTCAGCTAGAGATGGAACAAGCATACAGTTATACACAGATACAGATCTGTGTGCATAGGTTTTTGCTAAATAAATTATCAAGCTTCAGCAAGAATGACAAAGTAAGGTCAGTTTGCAAGTCTGCGTAAGTCACTAGTAAAACAGCTGGTCCGAATTGGTCATATCTGTTGTCTCCCACCTTGAAGGAGGTAGGAAATACTTAGAGAAAGGAACAGGTTCGGGTGGATAAATGTTGACATAATGCTCTTTACTGTAAGAGAAGGAGGGACAACTGAATGTTTATTGAGCTCCTATTAGTTATCTCTGGAAATTCTTTTTATGACAACGTTAGGAGGCTAGACTTAGATTTAAGAGGGTTATGGATCAAGTGAAGTGGCATCCTGTAGTGTGTTCCTGGAGTCCCAGGCTGAGGCAGAAGGGGTTGTTTGAACTCCGCAAGTTTGGGGCCAGCCTGGAAAATATAGTGAAACCCTGTCAACTAAAAAAATAAAATAGCTAGCCAGCGTGGCACATGCATTTAATCCCAGTACTGGGGAGGCAGAGGCCGGTGTATTTTTATGAGTTTGAGGCCAGCCTGGTCTACAGAGGGAGTTCCAGGCAAACTATGGCTACACAGAGAGACCCTGCCTCAAACAAACAAACAAAATTGTAATTTTATTTTCTGAACCCACAACTGTGTGGCAGAACAAAGATCCACAGTCACGTTTCTCAACCCAGAAGCTGTGCTTGCTATCTACCCGCCTATCTCGGCCTGTCCCTCCATGCTAACACTGGAAGCACACAAGCGCCTCCTTCTATCTGGTTATTTAGGAAGGAACATGTGTGAAGCCACCTTCCAACCTGAGAAGCAGGAGACAGGACCTTTAAGTCTCAGCACTCACAGTCATGCACAACACTCCCTTTCTTCTTAAAAAGTAACCAAGCTTGGTGGGGCATGCCTGTAAGTCAGGTGTACTTTGGAGGCTGAGGTAAGAAGAGTTTGAGGCCAGCCTGAGCTATACAATGAGTTCTGGGACAGCCTGGGCTAAGAGTAAGACCTTTCTCTCTCTCTCTCTCTCTCTCTCTCTCTCTCTCTCTCTCTCTCTCTCTTATGACTTGTATTCAGACAAAACCATGTCCAAAATGTACAGTGTTGAATCTGTAACCTCAGCCATGACATTTTATTAATCCCTTGCTACACTAACATTTTAAAGGGACAAAGAGGCCTCCTGGAGTTGACGTCATTTGTGTATTTGACCTCTAGCAATACTAAAGTAGACTTAGAGCAAAGTGTGGAAACTTCATCTAACCTCTTGCTTGCCCACTCTTAGACGTTAGGTTTTTAACTCCTCCCCTACCATGTGGGGCTCAATACCCCTACTTCAGTCCACAGAATGAGTTTTCTTCTTAGAAGTCTGAGTGCTACAGAGCTCATATGAGTAGAGGTCAGAGGTCACCAAGAGCAGTTCTTCAACTGAGGTCTGTCTTGTGACTGTGGGTCAGTTAATTGGCTTTTAGTCTTAGTTTGCTCATCGGTAAAATGGGTTAATAATTATGTGCTTCCAGGGCAGAAGGGATTGAATGACACCATTACTAGAACTCACTTAGCATGGAGCCTGACACACAGAATATATTTAGGCAGATGCTCTCATTTAAATCAGGTTGTCAAGGAAACGCTTCTAAAACTGCATAGTGGCACTCGGAGAAATGAGGGAAGAGCAAGTACAGACAGGCTACCAAGAAAGGGAAAACCCTGAATTATGTTGGAGGGGAGTCACTTTAAACAACAACAACAACAACAATAATAATAAAAATAAAATTGCTGTTGAATCTCTTTGAGTTTGAGGGTAGCCTCCAGGCCAGTCAAAGCTACATAGTGAGACCCTGTCTCAAAAACCAAAAATAAAACAAAGAAAAAACAAAACAAATCAAAAATGGGTCTTGTTCCTAAATAAAGTTTGATGTGTTCCTGAGCTTTTTATAGTTTGCATTTTTATTTTCTACTTACTAGCTTATACTACTCAATCACGTTACTACCCTGATAGGCAACATAAAAATGTTGCTTTTGTTTCTCTTAACCATACATCATGGACTTTAACCTGGAGTAGCAAATCTGACCTCCTTATGATCTGAGTCACGACTCACATTCACTCTCTTCTGTGTTCTGCTTTTCTGAGAAGCAGTTAGCTCAGTAAGAGCCACCTTTCCCATGTCTGATTACAACAGCCTCAGCCTGGTGTCCTAGCCCTTCTACAAGAAAACCAGTTTAGAATAACTCTGAAGCTCTTGCCTGACTGTGAACCATCTAGAGATTAGCCCTTAACTTACTTTTGCAGAACACCCAAGTTCAGTTGCCAACGCTCACACTGGGTAACTCACAACTGGGTATAACTCCAGCTCCAGGGGATCCTTCTGGCTGCTGTGAGTATCCACACAACATATATACACAGTTTACATTTTTTTTAAAAAAGATCATCCTTTTTATCTCATATAACTCAGTTAACACAGGTTTTGGCCAATCTTAGTGGAGAAGATAAAGATATCTTATGAACAAAGGTAGGGGTACAAATTATTCAGAAAGGCCAAAAGTCTGCGACCTAGGTAACTTGTTATCCGGAATAGGTACTTCTCAAGTGCAGTTCACAGTACAGGCACATCGCATCAAAGTTATGTTCCTATAAATCAGGAGGCATTTCAGCCCATTATAGTGCCTGGCATGATTACTGTGACCTTGTGTTGTCCAAGTACAAGAAAAGTACATTGATAGGTTTTCCACCTGGACCTATCAGTTAAGATTCTCTGTAAAGCTGGAAATTCACTCCTCAGATATGAAATGAGATGCATCCTTCTTTGATAAAATTGTCACCCACATCAACAGAAATATGTCTTTTTGAACACCGCAAATCAGTAAATCAGAGAATCCTACCAACCTCTGACAGACAGCTCCACAGAAGTCAAGTGCTTCAGTACGAAAGACCCTTTTTCTCTCTTTTGAACCACACAGGTGTATTTGCCCCTGTCTGAAAGGAACAGGGGCAGGATCATAAGACGGAAGTTGTCATCGGTGTCAAGTAAAGTCCGGTTCTCATACTTGGGCCACACTTTCGTCTCCTTAGAGATGAAACTCAGCACCATTTCGTTATCTTTTTGCCAGTAGATTCGCATTTGCAACATGTCCGCCTCCTCATAGGAAAAGTTGTAACCACAGGGTAGTGATACTTTTTCTTTCACTGACTTGGACATTTGGACAATACCTAAGAGAAGGCAAGTAAGAGAAGATTGATTGAACAAACTTTATTGGACAAAACAAGCTCATTCCATCAAGAGACCAACAGTAATGAGTGACTCTAGAATGGATTTTTTTTTTTTGCCCCAACACATTTTTGTTGTTGATGTTGTTTGTTTTGTTGTTGTTTTTAGAGACAGGTTTTCTCTATGTAGCCTAGGCTGTCCTGAGACTTGCTGTGTAGACCAGGCTGGCTTTGAACTCACAAGATCCTCCTGCTTCTGCCCCCTTAGTGCTGGGATTAAAAGTGTGCCCAAGCATGCCCAGCCTCATTACTTTTTTTATAATTTTTTATTATTGTATATTAATTATCCAAAATGATGGGTTCATGTTGTGGAATAGTCCTTTACACTGCGTGAAGATATTCACTGTGGTTGGTTTAGTAAAAAGCTACTAGGCAGGATTTGGGAGGCAGAGAGAACGCTGGGGAAAAAGAAGGCTGGAGTTGCAAGGAGATACCAGGACTCAGAGGAAGCAGCACGGGCAGTACAGAGCAAATGCAATGACAGAGCAAAAAGCAGATTGATAGGAAATGGGTTAATTTAAGCTATAAGACATAGTTAGAAACAAGCCTAAGCTATTGGCTGAGCTTTTATAATTAATAATAAGTCTCTGTGACATTATTGGGGAGCCTATGGTCCTGACAAAAATGTTGACTACAAGTTTATTTATTCATTTTTGGTTTCTTGAGAGAGGGTTTCTCTGTGTAGCCCTGGCTGTTCTGGAACTCACTCTGTAGACCAGGTTGTCCTGGAATTCACAGAGATCCGCCTGCCTCTGCCTCCTGAGTGCTGGGATTAAAAGCATGAACCACCACCGCCAGTTTTCACTTATTATTTCTATTGTGGTTCAAAAGAACCACATAAACAACCGTGTGTGTTGGATACTTACAATCCTAGCACTTGGGAGGCTGAAGCAGGAGAACAAGTTTGAGGCCAGCTTGTCCTACATTGAGACAATGTAGGACAAATATCAAAATATCAAATGGGTCAAAATATCCAAGGGTGGGGCTGTTGCTCAATGCCAAAGCACATGTACTGATGTGCAAGGCCCTGGGTTTGACTGCCAGCACTCAAAGAAGTACATCAAATGTACTATAGTGGCCCTTTTTAAGTGTACAGCAGAAAAATATCTTCACGTTGTGAGACAGATCTCAGAGTTGCTTGTGTGTGTCATGAATCTCTATACTTATTAAACAATAAACTCTCTCTCTTCCATCTCTCTCACCCTGGAACGACCATTCTACTGTTTGTTTCTATGAATTTGATTGACTACTTTAGATATACTGACTTTTTTTTTTGAGACAGGGTTTCTCTGTGTAGCTTTGTAGACCAGGCTGGCCTCAAACTCACAGAGATCCTCCTGCCTCTGCCTCTTGTGTTCTGGGATTAAAGGCGTGCGTCACCAACACCTGGTGATATTAGCCATTCTTTAATGGCCACCACTACCCAGCTTATACTGACCTTTTTGTGGGTGGCCTGTTTTACTTAGTATATGTCTTCAATGTTTATTTATCTTGTGTTATATGACAAATTTTCAAATAAAATCCATCACTCTGTCTTCCCCATATATATATATATGTTGATGGGCATCTGAGCTGCTTCCATGGATAATATGCTGTGAACATGGGTGTGCAAATACCTCTTCATAACCCCTTGATTTCACAAATCAGTCAGGTTTTGATCCTACCCCAGGCTAGCCTTGAACTCTCTATGTAGCCAAGGGTGACCTTAAACTCCTGGTCTGCCTTTCTCCACCTCCTGAGTGCTGGGATTACAAGTAAACACCATCGTGCCTGGGGTCCTACTACTTAGGTGCTCTATCTAACATATTGATAGATAGAGATAAAATGGCCTTGGTCAAAACTCCAGTGAATGTGCTGCCATTTGCCTATAGACCACACACAGCATCATAATGCCTCTCATACCCTTCCTTTTTTGTTTCCTTTGTTGCTGGTGGCCATATCAGAGGAGCAGCAGGTGGCAATTGACTTCAGGGGGTGGGCCCACCAGCATGCAAAACTCTGATGAGTGAATCTAAGAATGGCAAGGTCCCAAGAGCTTTGGCCCCAGAATGTCTTTTGCTACTGCTGTGTCTTTACATGTCTGCCACTGCCATTTGTCTCTGGTATCTGGCATGGTGTGAATGGGTATGGAGGGGTCCCCATTGCCTTTAATAATATCTTATGGAAATATCCCATTGTACTGGGCATTTTTACCTGTGGATTATTATGAAGTTGGTTTCCTCCTAAACAGTACTGTTTAAAGTGTTGCCCCCGCCCCTGATGAAACACGGGCTGCAGAGGTTAGAAAAGAAGAACAAGAAAATGCCACGCAGCTACTTTCTCTTGAGGAGCAGTATAGACTGTGGCTTAGACTAATGATAAAGAAAAACAACTGAGTCCCAGAAGCTAAGTTAGCTCAAATCTTTTGATCTTAATGTAGAGAGATGTGTTCACAGGTTTTGGTGTACATCATAGCTAAAACAAAGCTTTGAAATATGACTTAAGGTTAGGTTAATTATGTTTAGATGTTTTTTGTTAATGGCTTTGAGGTAAAAAACATCTTGTAAAACAATTTAAAGGCATATTTTAATAGCCGAGTGAGGAATGCATTGAGGTCAGGGAATAAGAATAATGACAGCTTGCCTATTGTTGGCTGATGTACCTTTCTTGCTAGGAGAGGTTGGTGATCAAGGGTGGTGATTAATTCCTTGTATCCATTTCTGCCCTCAGCTTCTTGATATTAAAAAAAATGTTGATGAATGGGTATGCACCCTGAGGATTTAAGACAGAACCAGCTGATTCTTTTTTATATAGAAAAGTTTAGATTCTTCTGCGATTTGTTATAAGATTACCCTTTGAGATAAATAATAAAACAATTGATTCTTTCTTTGTAACCTCAAAGTGCAGCCTGCCAACAAAAGAACTTGCTGAGAAAAATTCCTTGTTTGCTTACACTCTGTTCATCTAGAACAAGTTGCTTGGGCTTGAATGTATGTGCGTTCTTGGGACAACTATTTCTTTTCACCTGTAATACATAAAATGTTTAATCATATAAGGGATATAGGAAACATACTTTTATTTTTCTACGTGTACTCTTTGTAATGTTTTGCTTGAAAAATAGAATGCAACCACATTGTAATTTTATATTGCTTTAAAGATTTTGCTGGGGTATAAAAGCTGTAAGGGATAAAAATAAAGTCAGAAGGAAGATATCAAGAGAGACAGAAGTGATACATCTGGATAGAGGTTAAAAGAAATAAAGAACAGGGAGAAAGGATGTATGTGTATATTTTCCATTTTTTTTTTGCCTGCCCCAGAGAGTTAAGTTTAGCAACTCTCAGACTCTACAGAATTAAGTTTTACTCCATCAGGTAGAAAAGTCAAGTTGAGAAAAGTCAACCCACTCTGTTGGATCCCCCTCAATCCCTGAGCTGCTAGAGGCTGGTCCTCATGGCAGCGGTACTTTGCTACTGTGTAGTCATTCTTTGAAGGGAAGCAATTGCAAGTTCATCTGCTCCCCTGCCCTGCTCTGTGAAATAGAGGTCACAGCACTTTACAGGGGTCTTGGCAGAGACTTTGAGATGCTTAGGAAGCTCAGGACAGAGGGGACTATGATTCTATGCCCGGTAGCTATTTGTCAAAAAGGAATGAGGAAGGCAGATAAGAGAAAATACAAATTTAAAAGAGGATCATATTTTTAACAGGCAATACAACAGAACATCCTTATTCTTAGAGTCCACATTTGTGAACTGGCCTAGTCTCCAAAATTTATATTTTATTTGGGGTGTGGCAAGATCTCAATATATATCTCTGGTTGGCCTCTAACTGATGGCAATACTCTTGCCTCAACCTCTACTACGATTACAGAAATGTACCATCATGCACTGTGGTGATATATTGTTTATGATCTAATAAAGCTTGCCTGGAGATCAGAATGCAAAGCTAGCCACAGTCATAGAGGCCAGGCAGTGGCCAGGCTGGGTGGTAGTGGTGCATGCCTTTAATCACAACACTAAAGAGATACATAAGACAGAAGTAGGGTCTCAGAGGAGGCAATTAGTCTCCAGCCATGTTGAGGACAGGATTGCCCCAGCCTTGGTAGTGGTAAGAGCTCTCTGGTGGTAGGATGTTATGCTTTTTCTGATCTTCAGATTGAAACCCAATATCTGTCTCTGGGTTTTTATTATTCATGCTACAATGCACAGCTCCAAAATTTATTTAGAACCCAGAATCAATACTTGTAGGATTTTAGACATGGACAGAAGAGCAGAACACATGAATGCCTGACATTTCCAGCAGAGGTAGAATAGAGCACAGTGTTCTGCCATCTTGCTTCAGCTTTTATACTGCAACAAGTATACTTTTTGTCTGACTTCACAGTCTGCTAAGCACCACACCTCTCACATAACACAACTCTGTCTCATCAAAACAAAACAACGCAACAACAAAAAACCTACCCGATGGAACGTTCCCTTTCATTTCTTCTACAGCTCTTTCCCCATGTTTTACACACACACACTAAGTTGCACAGAACTGTTTTGTTTTGTTTTGAAACAAGGTCTCCCTAGGTAGCTCAGGCAGACAGACTATTTTGATCCTCCTGCATCAGCTGGGAGTTATGCCTTCCTGAATTCTAGAAAAGGTATAAACCACCATAGCTGGTTACTAATATGGTTTTGAGTGCTCTCTCACTTTCCTACCACACAGTTTGATTTGGGAGAACAAAGGCCACTAAACCTACCACTAGATTAGAGAATGACTTAGAGGAGAGCTGAGGTGCCACCTCCTTTATATAAATCTTCTAATTATGCAACCTAAAGTGAACCCAATATCTTTGTAGCAACCTTATACCTTGAAGACCTATTACTGCAATGGCAAATAAGCTATTTTTTCTACCATACATACCACACAGTTAAGCATCCTAGAAAGATGACATCACTACAAAGAGTTGCCCTGAATCTTCC